GCGGTTCATAGCTCTGTAGCGCTATAGTGTGTTAGAGATATACAAAAAGACAGTGGCGACCTCACATTATTTTGACAAAAAAATACCTTGATATTTTTCGGTTTAAGCAGTTCCAAAGCTTTGAAGAATCCTGCGACGACTGCACTTCCGTACTTGTCACGACACATTCCCCACATGTGACCTCCGGATTTCACATCGATACCACATGAAATAGATCACTTTTTCGAGACCATGAGGGCTACAGCATGCTAGTATGCCGATAACTACAATGTGGATGGAGTAAAACTTACCAGTGTCGATAGTTACGCCCTTTCCAATCAAAAAGAATGTATTTTCAATCGTTCCTTCGCCGACATACTCTAGACGTATTAAGCGAGCCTGAACCACTTATTTTATAGCCTGAATACCGAGCAACCAAAACAACATTTTGCGTGTACTACACTACAAAGATGTAGGGGCAGGTCGCCTGGGTTAGTTGAGGGGAGGGGGAGGAGAGGTTGAAACTGCTTGTGAAAAACTGGTGCTGAGTTGAGGGAGAATTTTGACCGAGCCTGAAGAGGGAAGGACGTTCGAGATAAGTGAATCAACTTCTTCGAGTAGAAATGGTATTTAGCGCTACCGTAACCTCAGTTCTGCACATGGGTCCTCTGAGTGCCCCTAAACTGAACAACGCAGTACAGTAACAGCGAATTTTTCACACAACACGATTTGGTGATCTTTCACGGGGAGAAAATCTTTGGCTTCTGTCTGGCCCAACCCAGCATACCAACCCGGGTACTATACTCGTTGAGGGCGATAAAAAAACTGATTTGTATAGCGATTTGCCTTGCAAGCCAAAGTTTTAAGTTTTTTTTTAAAGGCTACCTCGATTCTGAATAGAAGTAGAATGCATGGCGGGATCCCAACGAAACAGTGATCAACACCAGAGTCTGTCTTTCCTTTTTACACTATCACAACTCACTGACTAAATGATCTGAAAGGGAATCACGTTCTCACCTGATGATCTTTCACGACGTTCGCTGCGCGATTGACAGCCGCCATCAGCGGATACTCTTTCTTTATCAAATCCTGATCATCTGTTATTTCCACCTTGATATCTCCACTGGTGAAAACTGACTGAAACGCAATCAGAATACTACTTCATAAAACTGTGCGGTAAATTGGTGTCTTTTATCAGCATGACACCAATCATGAACGAATCTTAAAATGATATCTCGCACCCTTATATAATCCGCCACCTTCGGCGGTGACATTCGCTCAGGTCCCGTTTCTCCAATATCTCGGCATACAGTGAATGAAGACTCAAACGCTTCTACTAGATTGAGCAAGTTGTCGGTGCCAATCTGGAAAAGATGTGTATTCATGGGCTTCGCAGTTCAAATACTACCATTTGTAGATGATAAACTGAGAAGATATTGGCCAAAGAAAAATGCAGCAACCACATTGGTTGAAACCATCGCGTATGGTGCGATATGGCAAGTCAACCACCCAACCACGTATAGTCACTTCTGCAATTTGCTTGCTAGGGACTGCTAATAATTGATTCCAAAAACAGACATTGGGTTCGTACAGGTTGACTGCATGTATAGAAAGTGACAACCTTTGACAAGCAGACTTTGATACGGAGTTAAGCGACTTTAGAAAGGAAGGGTAGTAGAATCCAGAATGTGCGCAGAACCTTAGTAGAATGTTGCTTTCAGGGAAGTTTCAGGCAAGGAACGGAGCCATTGATGGTGGGTATTGGTAACCACTGATTATAACTGATAGAAGACGTCAGAATGAAATTGTCACTGAAGTGGTTTTGTTGTGCCACGAAATGATAAATGATTAGAAAATAAGGAAACGATGGGTTGGACAGTAAGATAGCGGCCCATGAGCTCTTGTGAAATTCAGTTTCTATTACACCTCTTTACAACCCCTGCGACTAATTTACAAAAGCTATAAGTAAGGTATCAGGCGAGAAGACCAGCCAGCACTTCTTCCCATTACCATTGGCAACAATATTCATTGGAACGGTAACTATCTAGAGTTCGAGCTAAAGGAGGATGTCTGCAATATTTGGCCGTTGAAGGCCTGGCTGTCAAAATGGTGATTTTTGCGGCTAAAATACCAACACGATGGTTAATGACACCAAAGTGAAGAAAAATACTAAAAATCTGTACAGAATGCCCCATATAGAACTCGATGCCGAACCGAGCTTGGACGTGCAGAATTCGAAGAAGGGGCGTGGTCGGGCGAGTTCTCACTTGCTGTGCCTGCCCTTCTACTTGATCATCTAACTCTTTCCATTCGAAAGGACGGAACACGCGCGGATAGCACCAAAAAATGGAACTCGAGCGTCGCCGCGGTCAGTGCGGGCCGCGGTTCATACGCAGTCGAGCTGCGCTTTCCTCATATTTTTGAGCTGCGGAAACAGTACATCCTCCGTGGTACCATATCTGGAGAATGCACTCATATATCGAACGAGTGCGGGATGTGCCTTTCACACGCGACTTTCTCCTGAAGGCTTCCTGGCCTTATGCAGTACAGATTCGGTTAGGCATGCGACTTTATATGGAGCGTTTTGAGCGGGTGTTCTCTGCTTTCTCTTTGCTTCTTTTGTTATTTACCAACTTGCCATTGATGCTTTAAAAGTGAAATTCACCATTTTTTTGGCGTGCCTTCAAGGGACAATGTAGAGCGATAAATGCAAGTGTCAACTCACAGGCAACAAACCGAGCCTCTCAAATTTGTCTGGGTCTTCTTCTTCACGAACGTTCAAAGGTGTGTACAGAGGACCAAGAGCAGCCAGAGCAGATACAAGTTCTGCATGAGGATAATTCGGATGCGGCACTGTCACCAATAGCGGAGACTTGATCCCAGCCGACAAAGCTCTAAATATTGTATAATAACTTGATTAATGGTTGCAACATTTTTCAAATTCGATGAGGCTGTTGGCAGAATCAGAACCCTCAGGAGAAGATACTGTTCGCTACAAAAAACTTCAAATGTATCGTGGTATGCAAGGCAAGCACTATAAAGAACTAGACTGGGTGCAGGTCTTTGACAGTTTCTTGTAAGATGTTCAACTGAATTTTCATAGCAAGAAAACAGTAGCAATATCAAAGCAGGTAAGCACATTCGATCTGCTACTCACTGCCATTTGCCGGGCAGTGTGTTGATTCCACGAGAATAGAATACTGGAAAATTGGGACGAAGAAGCTTTTCTGGGTGGGGAGGCATTCTGCAGCTCCTGTTCTTAACCAGTTTCGTTTTACAAGTCTCACTCTGGTGAACTGCGAGCATTTAGGAAGCTGGACAAGTTCGTAGAGCCACCCTTTTGCTCGTATTGTATCGCGGTTCACAAAATTCTACCGGTCTCCACCGGCACAACTCGTCGATGGGAAGCAGCGAAAAAAGAAAGCTTCCTCCTTCCCGTAGCCGAACTGGCCCATTTTGGGTGTCTTTTGCTTCTGGAAATAGAATACCTCGATGGCGTGAGCTTAGTCGTTCGCGTTTATGGGCATGATTGATAAAAACCACTTGATTCCAAACTCGGTTGCTATATCCCAGATATCCAAACACCTAATTAAAATGTTGAAGATCTTGAAGACTTCAGACCTTCCCGGGATGCTGCAAGTGATAAGGGATGGTATAACAGAACCTCTCCAGGGCCATGCAAACTGAGTGGAATTCTTTAACTACGAGCTTCATAGGACGAGATTCATTGAACCATGAGGCGCAGTTCGAAGACGGGGGAGGGGGAAGGACATTTCGCACTTTTGTTACCTTCCACTGACGTATCGAGCCATCAAGTGGAGACCTGTGAAAACTCGTGAAGCTGCGAAATGATACCATCCAGTCTGTAGAGACTACCTGCCAACTCTTGTAAAACAATGAAATACCATACAAATACCATTTACCGTAGTGGCTCGACGACGAGCTTGCTCCAGGTGATGGGTGCAGGGTGCACCATCATTGTGTGAACCACTTAGGGGTCGTACTTTTCGGCGGCTAGGTTTTGGGTGAAAAACTGGCAGGAAGCTGGGAACTTATAGGAAAGCGAGGAAACTGGTAGGTAGGTGTTGGGGAAGGGGGAGGGGGTCGTACCGAGACCCTCATTTAGGTGGGGGTCGTACCTACACCACCATTTCACACATCACGATGCTGTACCCTGGGTGGGTGAGCTTTACAATACTTCACTGGTTTCGCAAGAGAGACTTGGAAACGGAACTTGTGAAGCAGCGAAAGTGCAAAATGCCTCCACCCCGTCACCGATTCGCGCCAGCAGTGATGTTCGGTCGGCACGATCATGTTCATCAAAGTCGACGCCTTCATGTTGGACCACTCTGCAGCTATATGATAGGAAACCTTTTCGCCACCAAATGAAAGTGCCTGTCCCCACTAGCATCAGCCCAGTTGGGGATTTTAGTGAAGCAACAGGGTACCCGTCTTAGCTCAAGTTCAATGTTCTCCATTATAAGGCAGGAAGTCCAAAAGTGAAAACGCTTGTAAAAACACTACTGGAGTGTTCCCGGAAACTCCCAAAGTTTATAGAAAAACTCAAATAAAACCGCGAGAAAGGTATTCCCCAACCTAAAGAGCATGTATAAAACTCATACAAGTTTCTATTCAATGCTCTATCTTAAGCTCGATTTGTATTAACTGCAGAAAGACATTAGAAGAATCACTCACAATTGCACAGCGCTTTTTGCTGCAGCCTGGAAACGACGCACATCATCGATATCTCTCGTTACGGGACCTGAAAAAACACCGATAAGAACATCTTGAAAGGCACTCGGTCGTATAAAAAAGGCACTGTAAATCTTGGAACGCTTACGTCGTCAAGGCGACCACGAGGAAGAAAAAATTTAGCAAAGAACTTCCACAGGTACTGGTTTACAGATACCACAGAGAACTCTCGTTGAGCAGTATTGCGAACAAGACACAGCGGTTTTAAGAATGCTTCACAGGGGATGTAGCAGAAAAGCTCTATGGACAGCGCTCGCAGCATCACAGAATAGTACAAAAACTTGAATGAAGATGAGGGGGTGTACAGGCGGCATGGGTTCGGCACGGCGCAAACCCCGCTTTCCATCAGTTGTTGAAGCGACCAAGCGATAAAACTGTATAATATCGTTCGTATCAGTCGTTCCACCAATCACTGTCACTTAGCCGCTTCAGTACCTGGTGGAGAACGGGTTGGCTTTAGGTTTTGAACCCATCCCGCCTGACTCGCCTTTTGATCTGCAACGAAGAAGACTCTATGTGTCACAAGATTTCTAACTTGTAGTTTGAGTGTAAGATGGGGATAGCTAAGGTTTAATGTTTGGGTTGAAATGGGTCTAACTCGGTTGAAGATACATTCCACGATAACCCTATGCGTAGAATCCCTATAAGGCATCCGTTTCAGGAATCGTAGAGCATGCACCGACCATGCGGCTAGAAAGCGAGTGACAAACCCCGTGCCACGTAGGTCAGGATCTGATCTTTTCACAGAACTGAATTTTTGATGAAAAGGTTTGAGCCAGGAAATGAAAAGGATCCTACTGTTCAAGAATCGTGGACCTTCTGACATCAGCAAGTGAGAGTACACCCGATTGCGTACTCACTTCATCGTATGCGCATTCAGTGTTCAGTGCAAGTGGGGAGTTAGTTGGGCGTTTGCCAAGTACTGTCCCTGCCCTTCTCTTAGCTGTGATGCCTGAGACCGCATGTATTTTGCTTGCAAATTCCTCTACACCTGCTAACTGGCACTCCGCGAATGTACCTTAAAGGCAGCTAAGTGAGGGAGTTGTCCCTGAACCTAGTTTGCCCCCATTACAGAGGCCTCATCCTTGAACTTATAAATACGCAGAACAATAGATAAGACGTAGAAGTTACATTAAATTTCCAAATGACTTCCTCCAACCAAAACGTACCCCCCGTACCAGTTCCTGCAAGAACGAGTCGCCCTGAAGGTATTATCTTCCTGTCGACCGGTACTATATTGGCAGACGTGAGCGCTCCACGATGAACCTAAGAGAAAAGAGAGAGAGTTTAATCAGATCATATTATGAAAAATCAAAAAAGGGGTTTGGAGGCATTTGAAGGACTACTCGTGCAAAACTAGGATCGCTATAGCACAAACTCCACTTCTGAATCCGAAGGCTGAATCAAACAATCCTGAAGGTTCCTTCTCTCCCGTAGCTTAGGCAGGAATCCCATCACCTTTCCGTAGCACCAGTTCTGCGCAATGAAGCTTTTGAAACCTGCGCGCCCAAGACAAACGACCAGAAAAGTTTCCTGCTCTATTAGTCAGAGACAGTGTCTGCGGTCGCGTTCGGATCATGCGATCGAGTGAAGAGTTGGAAGAGTTTCTATGAAGCGAGACCTTGCAGCAGGGTAAGAGACCAAAAATCAGGGACGCACGGACAGGAAGATGTGCAAGACGACAGGCTAATCCTATTCGGAATGGAGATAGCGTGTCACACTCATATCTGCAAATATAGGACCGCTGGCATCTCGTCCCCAGATGGGAGGGGTGACCTTCATGGGGCGGCGAGCCTTGAGCTAATAATGGCGGCGGCGCCGTGAACCAGGCAATGAATATAGGGGACTCTTCCCATCAAGTGTTTGCCGCTGCGCCTTTAGAAAGTTATTTCGGAAGAAGTCTTTAAGTTCTGAGCGATACATCCAAGTCTTAA